ACTATAAAATGCCTACGACGTTGAGAGCGCTACGCTCGTTTTTTGGGTTTGTCTGGGTATTATAGAAAATTTATTAGGGACTATGCCAGACTAGCTAAACCCCTAACAAAATATCTTCGTGTTGAAAATGGTCACATAGGTACAAGATATTCAAAACAAACTAAAATAACATTTGATTGTGAAGCTAGGGATGCATTCGAAAAATTAAAAAACATTTTAGCGTCAGAAGATGTTCTCCTTCAACATCCCGATTATAGCAAGGCTTTTGAGTTAACAACTGATGCTTCATCTGTTGCTTTGGGAGCAGTATTATCTCAAAACGGTAAGCCTATAACAATGATGTCTAGAACTGTATCCAAGAGTGAGGGAAACTATGCTACAAACGAGCGAGAGCTTCTCGCAGTAGTTTGGGCTCTTCAAGCATTCCGTCAAAAATATAAAAATATTCACAGACCATCAACCACTTATATTCTCTATATCGGATAAAAATCCAAATTCAAAGATAAAACGGTGGCGCGCTTTTGTTGAAAAATTCGCACCAAAATTCTTTTATAAACCAGGAAAAGAAAATAAAGTGGCAGATGCACTCTCAAGACAATATGTCAACCAAATTTCGTCCGATGGCCAAATCATCCATAGTGAAATATCACTTTCTAACCCATAAAAACAATACAGTATCCTGTAAACCAATTCAAAAATCAATTGATTATAGGGAAAACCGAGACCTTCACTAAAAATACAAAAATTTTATTTAAAAAATTTATTCGTCACACAATAAATTACGATACTATAGAAAATCTGATGAATTGTTTCAAGGTAACCATAAATCCTAATGTAACTAATGCTATTTGTTGCGACTTGCCAACATTGGCAAAATTTCAAAATGATCTTATCACAGCATTTCCGGGTATTAAATTAATTCACGCAGAAAAACATGTCATCGACTTACTTAATAAGGATGATCAATTTGAAGTAATATTTACAGAACATAACCGAGCTCATAGATCCTTACAAGAAAACTTTAATCAAATTATAGGAGAATATTATTTCCCAAATATGAAAAATATGATAAAATCAATTATTAAAAATTGCAAAATATGCTTAGAAAATAAAAATCATCGAAAACCTCTAAAAACCAGAAATCGGTAAGACACTTATTCCAAATAGGCCGGCTGAGATTCTTCACTTGGATATCGTTATTACAGATAGCCAACTCTTCCTAACGTCAATGGACAAATTTTAGAAATTTGCGATTGTCAAACATATTCCTTCTAGATCCACCATAGATATAAAGAATGCCTTATTGGAAATCTTAGCAATATTTCCAATTGTAAAATCTATTGTCACGGACAATGAAAAAGCCTTTTATTCTAACATGCTGAGGTCATTTTTAAGAGATAATTATTCGATTGAGCAATTCTTTATTCCAACTCTTCATAATGAGAGCAACGGTCAAATTGAAAGATTTCATTCAACATTAATAGAAATAGCTCGATGCATAAAAGCACAGTAGCATATAAACGAATCCAGAGACTTGATAAAACTAGCGACACTAAAATATAATAACACCATTCACTCGGTTATAGGTGCTAAACCAGTGGACGTACTTTACAACTGTCCGTCTGAAAATATAATAAAAATAAAGAATAAACTTATTTTAGCGCAGGAAAAAACCTTAGAAAAATTGAATGCAAATAGGATAACTAGAACATACGAACCTGATGAGAAAGTTTATTTACGACGTAACAAAAGATTAGGAAATAAGTTTAATCTGGTTTTTATAGAAAAGATAATCGAAAGAGATCTGGGCACCACTGTGCAAATAGAAGGTCGCAGAATTCATAAAAGCAATTTGCGCTAAACTTAAATTTAGATTTAGACAAATCTTATGTTTTATTTTATTTTTAGATTACTATGCGTAGTAAAATTATCAGCCGCCAGAGTAGTAGACTATACGCAAGCTCATTTTATTGCGGTGGAACAGGGAAAAGCTGCAGTTTATAACGACTATGTGAACCTCATTCACATGACAAATTTAACCAACTATAGAATTATGGCGGAAGAAACAAATAATATAATAGATCAACTTCGTGATAAACCACATCTTGCGAAAATCTTAACCGAACAAATAGAAGAAATTTTTAGTTTAATAAAAACCCTTGACATTCCCCGAAGATTTCCGAGGTCAATAGATTTCATCGGGTCAGCACTAAAATTTATCGCTGGAACACCAGATCACGACGATTTTGAATTGCTGTCCACCAAACAAAATTGCTTGATGGAAAATAATAATAAACAAACTACAATAAATTCAGCTTTAGAGAAGAAAATAAACGAAATTACAGAACAAATTAATAACATAAGAAAAATCGCTTCTATAAACAATGTAATCCCTGACAGGGAAGAAGTTTTATTTGAATTATTTCAAAATAGAAATAATAGAATTAAGACAAATTTAAACACGATTGCACTATCGGTAGTATTAGCAAAAAATAATATAACTAACCCCTTAATTTTAGATGATTCAGAATTAAATAAAATCATTTCAATTGAAAATTTTCCTATAAGTGTGGAAAGCCTACTTAGTGCTGCAAAATTAAAAATCCTACAGAATACTGATATAATTTATTATGTTTTAAGAATACCAAAAATATTTAAATTTTTTAATTATATTAATATTTACCCTGTTATCAAAAATAGTACTGTAGTTAAGTTATCCGTTAACGAAGCATTAAGCTGCCCAAATGTTACATTACCAATTAAGAATTGTATTTATACGGCAACAGCCTTTATATGTCAACCAACATTAGATGCTTGCCTTTCGCAACTACTTAACAACAATACAGCTAAATGTCCAACCGAATCATCTCATCATTTAACTCAAATTCAACAAGTATCAGATGGCGTAGTTATTTTAAACGACGTATTTCCTACCAAAATTGTTGATCAACAAGAAATCGAACTCACCCGTGGCACATACCTGATTACATTTATGGAAACTATTTCGATAAACAGCACGGAATTTTCCACAATCAAAAAAAATTCTCTCATGGAAGCACACCCACCCAAAACGATGAAGGTAAATTATGAGACATACGATGTAAAATTATCACTGCCATATCTTCACAAAATCCATATCGACAACACAAAACATATTAACACATTGCAAGAAGAAATAATTAAACAAAAGATGTTGTGGTTCATTTCAATACCAATAATAGCAATCCTGATTCTTTTCATTGCGATAATCTTTATAAAAAGAAATTTACAACCAAAAATAAATGTAAATGAAATAGTCCAACAATTAAGAAACAGAAGCGAGGACGCTTCAACTTAAGAAGGGGGAGAGTTAAGCAGTGTTGACCATTCGTCAGCATTAATATGTAACAACGATGTCAGCGACCCAGTCCATGCGCACAATTAAAATTGTCGCTTTATTGCAGCAGCGGTTTACGCAATATCGAATTTCATTTCGGTGCAAAGAACCCAAAGCAAGCGCGTGTTGGCATTGTTATTGTACTTAATCAATAACAATAAATTAAATTATAGAATAAGCACAAATAATTTGTAAGGGCAGCTGACATTGCTATTATAATAAATAATAAATAAAAATTATAAATTTTGTAAAATAATAAAATTAATTTGTAAGTGCAGCGCACTAGCAAATTTTAATAAATTTTAGATATACTTCTCAATCGAAAGGGTAACGTGTTTTATTTTAAAAACGCTCCGTGATTCGACTTAAAATAACTTATATAAACAGTCCTTTTCTAATATGTATGTTAACTATTGCTTTTTGCTTGACTTTTACATATATAACGATTAAAGCCGGGGTTTGTTATCATATGTAAGGTTAGGTTAGTATGGCTGGCTGTAAGTCACTCATAAAATTACTGGTTCCATATAGATATACCAGATATTAAATATAGTTACAATTCTGTAGATTTCTAGTTGATAGTCTTGCGAATTTAAAGAGACCGTTAAATATTTAAAGAATTTTTTGAAACTTGTTTTTATATAAAGAGGTTTTTTCAAACAGTAGTGAACTACAACAACAAAAATTTTATTTTTTATATTATTTTAATTAATTGAATTTTTGGCTGACCATACAGCTGTTTCGAGTATTCCCAAATACCCATCATCAGTGGTCTTGGAAATAATTCCTGTGTTTAAATATTCGTAAATAATTTTTTGAGACTGCAAGTGGCAGGAAATGAACTCGTGTCCTGCCAAATTTGAAGCTCAGAGTCAACGCCTCAGCTTATCAGGGCGGTAAATTATTATCAAACACAACAATAACATATTTACTTGAAATCAATTATTTTTTCAGAAAAAAATACTCAATACATACTTTATTCATAATACTTTGCATACATATTTCCTTTGGATTTCCAAAGAATTTATAAAATAAAATTGAGAATTTTTCTGAAATCCAGCAATTTTGTGTCCGGTTCACAATTCCGTTGTAAAGATGGAGTTTCTAGTAATCAAGTAATTTTGCATTATGAAACAAACATTAATAGCTAAAAAATCGCTGGGACATTAAATACTCGTATACAGATCTTTAAATCATGTCAATAACCACTATAGAAATGAGTAGCGTTCCTTTGACAGTTAAAGAATATTTTGTTAGAATATACATAAATTAATTTTAATGTCAGCTAAACAAATTATATGAAATAAAATAAAAGGAGGCAAAATTATGTCTAAATAAATGTAGACTCTCAAATACAACATTGTTTGATAACAGCGATAGAAGGGTTATTCCCCATTGATCAAGAGTTCAATCCTCAAAGAGGAGATATTAAGGAGTAAAGTTTTTAAAAATTGTTTTTCAAATAATTTTCTATGAATTTAGTTATGTTCGAAATTAATTATTTAACAATTTAATAACTGCTGCATGAGACCAAAACTGCTGAAGCAAAATATTTATAAATTCACACATTTCACATTAATTTCATAAAGATAAAAAAACTTACAGATGAAAAAAATAAGTAAAAAGAGAAATTAAATGCCCAATTTTCATTGTTTGTCACGCCTTGCTGTGCCGATAGTTTTATGGGAAGTAGTATGAAAAACTGCTCCAGTAGCATGAGAAGCGCTCCGCGTACCCTTCGTAAATATTTTGTTCGCTCCATGCTCTGCTCTGCTCCTCCGCAAATTGTGTTTGCCGAGCAATTAGCTTGACAATTATCACCTGAAATGCTGAACTACTGCGCTTCCATCATATAAAAGCAAAATGCTATGCACGATTGTTATCACTTAGATGGATATTACAACTGCAGATTGTACCAAGTGAAGAAACGTCTATTTGAGTACAGTTATAAAAATTATAAAAATACGATTCGCTTTCTGAGGACATTCTTTTAAGAAAGTTTAAATAATAAAATGGAAAAGAACACTTTGTGGTTTATTTTTGTGCTCCTTATTGTGTATTTTACGGTGGTGTTTTGTGAAGAAACTGTGAACCAAGATGAAAATTTAAATACTGAAGAAAGTAGTGCTCTCCAAACCGCATCCACAAATTTAATCGATGAAGCTAGAACTAGAAGGCGACATGGATTTTATCGTAAGTAAAGCAATATGAATAAATAAAAATTGAAATTGTTTCATTATTTAAATGCCTTGAAGCATTTTAGTTGTACTGACCATCACAATGTCCAATATATTTTTAAGTCATTATATTCCTTTAGAGTCTTATGTTGACTAACCTGAGACTACTCAAAAAAACAATATTATTTTTATTTTAAATCATATATAGTGTAGTAACTTTATCATGATTTATCATAAAAATTATGATCTTCAATGGAGCAGAGAAAAACAAGTACTAAAAGAGTTAAACTAATGGTTATGACTTCTGAATGAATTAAAAATTGTCCTGAAGAATTGGGATTAATAGTTAACTTTACAACATGTATCTAACAAATCATGAAGAGTATCAAAAAAAAAACTGATCAGACATTTCTTATTATTTGATTTAGATGAATCAATTTACCAGTTTCTTCAGTAACATATATCTAACAAATTGGGAAGATTATCACAATAAATCTGATCTACCTATTAGTACTTTTATTAAAGGTCCTTAACATTTCTTATTATATTGATTGAGATAAATCAATTAATCAGTTTCTTCAGTTTTTTGTTTTAAGCTTTTTTGACTAATATTTTAAAAGGAAAAACTGTGACTTATTGGTTAAATTGATAAAATCGGTATTTAACAGATCTTTTAAGAGCATCACAATAAACCATATATGTTTGAAGTTTTAACCATTTCCAGGAATTTTGTGTAAAAATAGTTATTATAAAAGTAATATACACTCAACTGATATAATTAGAATCAGATTATAGACATTTATGCATTCGCTGCATTTATAAAAAATTATTAATATCTTATAGTTTGTGACAACTGATCTACGATCTGATAAATAGCAGGTATTTTTCCTACCACAATGAAGTAATAATTATATGTGTCATCATAAATCATCACAAAGATATTTTGGATAAAAATCCATATTTTTCTAAATTATTTTCACTTTTTTCAGTAAAAGAAAAAAAAAACTTTTTAATGTAAGCTTTCATAAGCTTATATAAAACAAAACTTGTTAACAAAATTACTTAACTCTTATTTAATTTATCAGAATTGAATTTATTTATCAATATTTCATTTTGATTGAAGAATGCAAAATAAAAAAAAGAAAAGAAAATAAAGCACTTTTTCCCAATCATACTTTTTAAATGAGATTATCACGCTTTTCTTGAGCAACTGCGGGTATCTTAGCAATAAGATAATCAAATAATCCATTAGCACTTTTCACTTTTAATATTTTAAGTTTGATTATCGTTGGCACGATATCAGCCAGATTTGGATTTGGGATAGTTTGACACTTTCGCACAGAATTTTCACAAAAGAAAATGAAAGTGATAATTTGCTAAGAGGTGTTTCGTCACAACTGTAGATGAATCAAATGACTTATCAAATTGATTATGACATATTATACAATAAGCCTAAATAATACACAAAAATATTTTTTTTTATTATTTTTTTCATTTGCTTCTATCTTTTAATTTTCAGATCATCTTTGGGGTTGGCATGCGTTGGCTATTGCATATTGGATTAAAGTCAAATTAGTTATAGTAGCATTTTTCGTTGGTAGTGCTGTATTTGTGGGCTTGCGTTACTTGTGGCCAAACAAATGCTCATCAGATTGGAGCCACGAGGGCCCAATCATCTATGAAAATCCGTAAATAATAAGCATAAATATTTAAATAGAACCCAACAACGAATTTCATGTTTTAACTTTTGCAGACATTCCTTCGCTCACAGCGATCACATTCCATATTCCATAGATCATTCCGAACACAGTGATCATTCCTTTGAAGCTGGTTCTTTTGAACCTTATTCTGCATACGAGAATGCATATTCTGATATTACGCCATCGACTGCGCCAGATCCATCTGATATCCATCGTGGACGTCGCAGTTTGAACAGACAAATACAAACAGAAGAACAGTACGTGTTTTTTCTTTAATTTATTAAATATTTTATGCCCGTATTTTGTTTTTATAGGATTGCAGATTTTATGTTCTACTTTTTGGGGCTTGATTCTCAGGCTTGTAGACGCCGCTTTATATGTGAGATGGAGTTTCGCGCAAAAGAAAACCCAATCACTAGTATGGCATTCCGGGTTGTAGGTAAAGGGTTCTTCAATAAATATACAAATGCACTTAATCGAAATGGCCTGGCAAAATCATTCCAAGACTGCGCGCTTGTGAACCCTCAGTGTGTTTTTATTGAACGTGATTCAAATGAAAACCCTAATACGGAATCAGAGAATGTAACAGAGCCACTGTCTGAGAATAGTGACTTGAATAATGACAACGACCAAGAAGAACAAGTTAACAATGAGTTTGATAACAACTATGATCTCGATCAGGAAACACAAAACAATGAAATTTTAAAATCTGAACGACGTCACAACAATGTTAATCGAAGAGGTTCTCGTTCATTGGATATTGTGGCAGAGCATATTTTAACGAAGCCAAAATTACCATAATTCCATTTTTTTTTAATTTAGTAAATACTTTTATTTATTTAGTTTTTATATTTATTTATTTGTCTTTTTGAGGTTGAATTTACAATATTTATTAAACAAGAAACTTGCCACCAAAAACTTTAATTTAATGTTTTATTTTGAAATCAGATAAAAATTGACTAAGAACTTCGTTATATGCTGCCAACTTAAATAATATAAACATATCTTAGGAGATTATACAGCTAACACAAACATACAATATTACCTAATTCGTTAGAATTAATTACTTAGAACTCATACCTTTTTTGATTTTTTCTTCTTACTTGCATTTATATGATCTGCTAAATGGTCAATTTCTTTTTGGTTAAGCGGTTCTGTTTTTCGTACATCTTTTTTAATTAAATGCGCTTGCTTCTGCACAACATCTTTAACAGCAACACCCACTTTACCCCAAATGAAATTCAGAAAATCCATAGCTATATCCTGTTTGAAAAATGCTATAGCCACTAAAGCTACCAAAACTAATGCTGATATAGAGTTTTGGTTAAGTTCGGTTTCAGCTGTTCGCACTTCTGGCTTAAAGTCAAGTTCGACAAAAACGGAGCTAGTATTTGCAATAAATTCTTCTGATGGCAAAGTAAATGAATACGTTTTATCAGAGAGTGTTGACTTTAATCGGACAATATAATTCTTATGGTCAAGTGGAATGCGTGGGAAAAACACCATAACACCTGGGTTATAACGCGATTTTGTATACAAAGAATCTAAATTCAGACGCTGTAAATAAACTGGTGAATCCGGCGCACTTTTCTTAAACATTTCAACCCATAATGTTTTGTAGTGATCATTGCTTGTGGCTGTAATTCGCGCTGTTACATCTACAAAGTTTGAAACACTGACAGCAATTAAATTGACATCATTTATATCCTCGTTTGTTACTTTTACTGTACGTGAAGGAGGAATGGATCGTTCTACATTTGCATTGATGTTTGAACCTACTTTTGTTCGTATTGTATATGTGCAACCAGGCTGCAGACCACGTAATCGATACTGACCATTGTTTTCGCTAGTAGCTTCTTCCTGGTAATTCATGCAAGTTTCATCAGCAGTTGCTTCCACATTAACTTGACCATAGGGATCACCGTTAAGTGAAGTTATTTTACCAAATACGGAAAAGGCGACACGTTTTCCACTATAACGATTAATAAATTATTAATAATATTAATAAATATCATTTTTTACTTGAATAAAATAATTAATTACTTTATATAAAATATAAAAATAGAATAAAATAAAATAACATACACTAATTCGACTTCAATTGTTTCGCCATCCTTGATTTCAATTATTTTGGAATTAGGCTCAAATTTATATTCTTTCATCATTGGTCGAAGGAAATAATTAGAAGGTGATAATGAATGAAAATTGATGCTACCGTCGATTCCTGTTACCAAATTCTTTCGGTAACTTTCAGCTCCACTAAGTGACAACAAAACACCACTAAGATTATTTCCAGTTTCATCTTTAACCTTTACAATTATTTCGCACAGTTTATGAGCTTGAAAAGATGACGAATCACGTTTGTAATCTGAGAAAACATATGACTCCTTTTCAGCATTCAAATTGTATGCCAAATTTTCATCAATTGGCCCAAACTTGAATTCACCAGTTATTGATGTAAACATAATTTGGTTATTTATATCGGGATTTTGGGGAAAATCTAAAGTAATTTTCACATCTTTGATAGCAGGTACTACTTTTCCTCGTAATATTAATCCTCGAGTTGCTACAAAATTAAATGCTATGTCTATACAATCATTTGGTCCAATTATGTCTTTTGAATGTGGCGTAAAAAGTAAAGTATCACTTTTTGGGGTAATACGTAGAACTTCTTCAGGTCTCAAATGAGTCTCATAACGATAAGCAAATTTTCCATCAACTTTATGTAATTCAGCCTTAGGTTGTATAAGTTCTTTGCCTAAGGACGAAGACTCAACTTCCAACTGTAACGACTCAGCCGTTGATTCTGTTGACAGGACACGTATACCAACTTTATGTGCAATAGCAGTAATTAATATTGGTGCATCATTTGTCGTAAATGATTTAGGGAGATTTTCATCATATAAATGACAACTTTCCACCCAAATGCGGTAGGTGCCATATTTCGATACACAGAATGTATTTACACCGGTAACCAATTTCAGATTATTTGTAGTTTGAGTTTGAGAGTTGGTAGTTGTATCCTGATGTCCAATGTGCGAATATTTTAACTAAAAACAATTACAACTAAGTGACTTCATTTATTTACTATTTATTTATAAAATTTTACCATTCCACGATGGCTAGCTATAATTGACACTTCATAACCAGTTTGAATAAACGACGGTGCCACTTCTGAAGCTGAAGCGACGTTAATCAGAACCCGTGTCGACTCGTAACACATATTTGATTGCGGTATGGTAATTTCATATGGACCAGGTAATATATCCTTAAAAGCATATTGACCATCTATATAATAATAACAATCATGTTTATATATAACAAATAAACAAATAATTATTAAAAAAAATTTACTTTGCGCTTTTGTTATTTGCTTTTGTCCTATTTTTTGACCCAAGTTATCAAGAGACTGAAGAGTTACCTCAGTTTCAGTACAAGAAGTTGGTGAATCAGGTAAGCATTTCACATCTCCATTTAGAGTCGCACGCAGTTGTGAGAAAGTTATACCACTAATAGGATCTGAATTAACTGCAATAGTTTGTTGTACCGGGAAAAATTGTACACCGTTCTGTTTGTCCGCGTCTGTAGTAAGTACTTCGACATTAAATTTTCCTTTGGGTAAATACGTACACCAATCGCCGCTTTTTGGTTTACTTGAAGATGTTGTGTGAAATGTTGAACCCTGTTTAGTTATACCGACTACATACGAACTTTCCGAAACGACTTTGCCACATACTTCAAACGAAGTTGCAATTATATCTGGAAGTGTTGGGGTGGACATATGTATTTTCATTTGTTGTTTATCAAAATGCATCTTAGGTGCTTCAACTTGTATTGTATATGTAGCAGATTTAATATTATCTAAAATATAGTTTCCATCAGCGTCGGTTTTAGTGATTATATTTTCGTTCAATTTAATTGTTGCACCAGAGACTGGCTTTTCTTTTTCTGCTAATACTTTTCCAATAACACTGAAACCTGTAATCTGAAACATAAGTGTACAATCTAACCATATCTGAAATAATTTGTATCGCTTACCTCAAAATGTTCTTTTATTTCAAGTGAATCTTTAAGGACTTCAAATTCCAAAATATTCGGTTTAATGTGCAGCTTTAAATTTAAATTACTTAGTACAGGTTGTACGAGGTATTTTCCAGGAGGTACGCCAATGAATTTATACTCTCCGGATGCTTCTACTTTAGCTAAGCAAATTGATTCCTTTTCATAACTTAGGTTGTTTTGCAGAATAGATTGTTTATTTTGCATTGTACATTTGGTTGGCAATGTTTGCTAAGGATCATACATATATGTGTTACATTATGTTAAGAAAATGCGTTTTTTTTCTAAATATATAAAATAAGATTACTTACACCTTTTCGATTAAACAGTGCCATAGTAATATCCATACTCAGTTGATCACTGCCATCGAAGTAACCTGTTACGTCGAAGCCAGATACAACTAAAGAGTTTTTGGGTAATTCAGTATTACCACTAACTACAACAACAGTGTGTTTGTTTTTTGAGAAATGCCATTTGGAGTGAGTAGCTGTTATAATATATTCTCCAGGAACTATCGGCGTAAAGGAGAATATTCCATTTATATCTGTAGTTGTATGACGTACATCTGTTTTATCTCCCGATTCAAGCTTTACTGAAACTCCACGAGCACCGCTGTTATCAGTGCCGGTAAGTGATACTTTACCGGTAATGCCAAATCCTTTGAAAATGAAATTCACGTCTTTTCCCTGACTGCAAATATCTGTTTTGCCATCAAAATTAAGCTCTACTTGTTGAGGATCAAAACTCCACCCAGGAGGTGGGGAAATGCTTAACAAATAGGAACCTTTATCATATATAGGCAAAAAGTAATAGCCATTTGATGGTGAACAGTCAGTTTTATCCTTAAGTGAGCCATGTTTTGTAAGCCTGCAAATTATTTGTATATTAAACTTATTCACTATTTATAATTAGGTTAAGTCACTTGGCTTATCTTTTATATCCATAAGTCAAATCACTAATTAACACTTTCCAACAAATATTATTAGAGGTTATAACTTACAATTTTATTTCAACTTTAGAGAAATCAATATCAGCGTGGCTTTTAATAAATCCTCCACATCCAAGCACTTCATTCGTATTTATATAATTCAGAAAACAAAATATTTTAATTATTAAAATAAATAAAATTGTTCTTAAAGTACTCATTTTAAAGTACTTTGTTTTCCAGACGTGTGACTGTCAAAAAAGAATGATTTTTAGTTGCACATATTTGTACTGTACAAATTTTGAAGTTACTAGATATGCCTATCCTAACTGTCAAAGTACTGAATACAACAATGATTGTGAGAGTACAATATGCGTCATAAGTGCCGACTGGTTATATGTCTGTACGAGTACTTTTCAAGTAGAAAATAGTTAAATTTCAAATGAGATTGAAATTAGGAAATCTTTTTTCAGAAGAGCAGATTACTCATAAAGAGCAAAAACGTTTTTTAGTAAATAAGGGTAAATTGGTATTTAATTTTAAATTTAAAATCTTTTTGTCTGCTTTTATTAATCAAAATAGTTCTATGTTAAAAAGAACGTTATATTGAATTTAATTAAAATTTAACACAAGTTATTTTAAACATATAATAGATCTGCTCCACGAAATACTCGTAGTAAAACTCAACTAAAGTACAAACTGAGAGCGCAACACAAATAAAGTGCGAAGTTACGCTCTTTATACAGATTTTTATGGAACAGCTTTGTGTAAAGTTTGGTGAGAACACCAGTGCCGCGCAAATAAACAATACAAAAATTTGAATTCAAACCAGATGAAATAAAATGTATGACTAAAATTTGTGTAGTATTTTCAAATTTTGACAGGGATGTTACGCTCACTGAGATGATCTAAAGGTACTACGAGTAGCTCGTGGAACAGACCTAATATTTCGTTGAGAAATTGAAAAATAAATAGTAGGATAGTAGAAGTAATTGCTTTTATGAATATTTTAAAGATTTGTTATAAATTTATAAAAGAGGTATATGGATATATTTTTTATATAATTTGTATGACGCAAAACTTGATTTGTGTTGATTTAACACCATTTTGGGAAGAAATCTATATAAACATGGCAACATATTGTCACTATATTTAATAAATTGGATCAATTTATTTGAACCAATTGCAGAGTTGAGAATTCGAAATTCAAGCGAATTGATAGGAAATTTTATTAAAAATTACAGCCGCGAAAAATAAATGGTTAATAATAATAATGGTTAATAGAGATTTGAGTATAAAGTGGGTTGAAAAGACTATACAAGAACTAACTGTTAAGCGTGAAAAACTGCTTAACCATACAAATGTTGAAGCTTTACCATTTTTAAACACTACACATAAACTGAGATGGTTAAAATGACTAAAAACGATATGAGTTAATATAGATAATTCTGTACTTTATTTAATTTTATATACATTAAATATTTATATATGTTCCTTAATATAATTTAAGTTTAATTCCAGTTTATTAGAAATGAAAATTGTGAAGATAGTGTTAATCATATCCAATAAAGGACATTTAAAATAAAAAAATAGCTATATATTACTAAATAAATTTTCTTCTATATAGTTTTATTTGTTATATTATTACTATTACATACATGCAAATTAATGAGATTATAAGTCCGGTTAAATTTTAAAAAATATTTTATTTAATGAATAGCATTTACATTTAACCATATTCTAACCGTACATGAATCTAATCTAAGTGAGCAATGCTCCTACTTTTATATTCAAATAATCTGAGCTTACAAATAAAGCTTTTCACTCAAAGCTTGCTCAGATCATAATTTAAATTCTAACTTATTCTCTATATTTTCTCTTACAAAATAACTTTCTGTTTTATACTTAACCCTACTAAGTGAGAGCGTGCGATAACATGCATATATCAATTGTAAATACATTTCTATTATTCTGAGTTAACATTAAGGAATCAAAATAGTTCATAACAATTATGAACTACTTCATAATTTCATAATTTTCTTTTGTAAGCATGTCGCAAAAGAACAAATAAAATAAGCACTACTGCTATGGCAACTCTGGACAAAATGGAGATTTTGTTCGGCTTATATATGCAAAACACGTAATAAAATTTTAAGTTAAAATTTCGATAATGAATAAGAATTCTTTGCAATAATAGAAAAAATAACATATTTGTTACGAACAATCATGACACGAAATACGAATAATTAACGAAATTCGTTGACAGATAACTGGAAATTTCGTTGGTACTTCCCAAATCTTTCACAATAGACGATTTTTTAGTATTGAGTTGAGCTGCTTATTAGTAAAACCGTTTCAAAAAGGTTGGACTAAATAAACCAGCAGTGTTGTTGTTTCATATGTTATTTTTAAAATAAGCAGTTGTTCTTTTGTACTATGCTTACAAAAGAAAAGGCCTATTATTAATATCACTAGGACAGGAAAAAAATTCGACAATGTATCTCCTTCATACCGAATATTTTCCGCTAGTATATTATTATTGCAGAAGAATTTATATATAAATTAAAATTTAACGTTAGTTATGATGGAAGTAACTATTTTACTAGCTTTAGTTCAGTTGAACGCTGATTCTACGCTTCAAATTTGGTAGGGTTGAGGTCAACCAATGATACTTGCAGTGTCAAAAAACTATTTACGAATTACATACAAGCAATAATTCCAAGTCCCAATGATGATGGGTACTCCATTCACTATATTTACGTAGTGGACCAAATATATTTGTTAGAATCAGCTTTTCGAAGAATTGTAGTGTAGATAAGTGCTTTATGGATTATATTCATTTTTCGACTGTATAAGAAGTAACTCGTTTACAAAGGTTTTTTATAGCAGATTCTTTGATTATCTGGAAAGTAGTTTACTTTTAAACTGTTTAAGCCATAAAACGTACGCTAAATGGACAAGATTATTTATTAATTATTTCATTTTTATCCATGTTGTTGTTTATGATTGATTATAATTGCGTAAAAGATTTAATTATCTTGAACATGTCGTATCTTATTTGTAGCTCATATATTTACAAACTTCATCGTTTCGTATCCTTAGAACTCAGATTTTTCCAACGTTTAGTTCATGCAAAATGTATGCCTTTCTTATAATTCTCTTGACGTAAGGGTCATAATAATAATATTGTCGGTATATGTAAGTAAAGACAAGTAAAGATGACTTAGTCAATTTTTTTCCTCTTAATTTTATTTATTTATCTCATCACCTTTTCAAGTGTTATATTGAAGTAAAAATGATCATGTTGTGGTATGTATAACACATTTATGTAAAATGATTTCGGATGGCAGATCGCTTTAGATTTTTCTCCTGCACGTTATTGTATTCATAGTAGCCTAAGTTTTTCAAGCTTTCTCCTTCATATCCCCTTTATATGGGATTATAGACACCTTTAAAGTTTAAAAATATACTATAGACTATAGTATTGTATTTTCTCATTTGTTTAAAACTCTATAGAATAACAAATCCTTCGTTGATAAGCCAGAAGTAAATCCACTTATGTGTTGTCCCACTACATATAATTCCATATAAGTCCGGTGCACCACTGCTCGAGTAATTGTTCCTACTGTTATATGGTTTCCCCCTACGGGAAAGGAATTACAATATTTTCAAAGTAGGGGAAGCTTGTCGTAAGTGGTACTATTCTATACAGTACGGGATACTACTAATAGGTAATTAATTTTACATGCGAAATCCTACCGTAGGTGAAATCTGCTGTCCTGACCAATACAGTTCGGTTCCTTTCAACATAGAGTTGCATTTTGCAACCGGAGGCTATCATCCAAAAACACGAAAGGTTGTATAGGCTTCACTTATCAAGTAGAAATTATTTATAGTACTAACTCCCATAAAAGCTCTTGAAAGTGATGAAAGCATTTTAAAAAATCTCAACTAGAATGCTTTATATTTCTCTGGTTTCCAATCACATTAAGAACTCCTTGATCAGATGGATATTGTATGCTAGGTGAATATTGATAATGAAGGATAAAATGCGTTTTTAGTACTTAGACCGGGTATTTTATCAATCCACCTAGTAAAGTTGCAGTTATCAGTAATTTCGTTCAGTTTTGTTTTTTATTGTGGGATATTTATAGAATTGCATCATAGGTCATTTTGATTTCGATAACTCCATCCGGTTTGTTATTGCTTCCTTGCAAGTTAGAAATTATTGCCTTTGTATTCACAGGTATTTAATCTTGGCTTAGCACCTTTTCGTTCGTAATTTTTTTTTTTAAATGACGAGTTTTTTCGTAGAACTTTTATGTTTTCGTTTAATTTTTTGTCAAAAATTTTTTCTTCCTTCTGTTCCTTCCTCTTTTTTTCTTTTAATTTGTTGCTAAAGCGTTAGCTTTCTAGATTGTATTCCATTCTGTTTCTGTAGCTATGAAACAGCTTTTACGCATTACCATCACATTTAAAAATATTTCCAGATTACAATGATGATATCGTTCTCGTGATATCGTAGGATGTCTTATTCTATTTCCTTAAGGTGGCTTAAGGTGCCAACAATGCAATGTTTCTTAGGAAGAACTAGTATTTTCTATCATATAAAAAATAAGCTTTGTGAGATTAATGGTACTGTGACTAAATTTAACCTGTACCTACACACAAATAAGTCGTTCGATCTTAAATCAGACCGACTGATCAAAAAGGTTACGAAATTTGTAAACATTTATTTCGATGTCCTTGTTTTGGTATCAAAAATACATTGATTTTAAAAATAATATATATCATATTTAATGTACTTTCGAAAATATATATTAAAGAGATAAGTTTAGTTATTATATCTCAATAGGTAATTTATGTGACTGTTTATATTACAAAGAACTCAAAGAGCGGAAGTTGAAAAGTGTTTTTATCGCTTCCTATGTTTTTATTGAACCTTAACAAAGAATCACTTTAGGAACATAGATAAATTTAAATATGTATACTCAAATATATATATTATAATACATATACAGAAATTGCTTTTAAGTGAACCATTAATAATTGTAAACTTATTACGACTATACCCAAGTGAAATAATTCATTTTTTTGAAATGTTCCAACAAATTGTATTTTATATAATTGTAGTTTATATACAATTTTTGATAAAGAAGGTTGTTTTTTATTTGATTATTATAAATATGTGGATATATAAAATATAGCAAAATTTACATCA